GGCTTTCATGATGCACAAGTGTCACAAGAAAGTAAACCGAAAGCCAGAACAAATACTGCTCCAGTGCCACACATAATCAGTCTGCTTCAGACATCAATTGCCAGACCATCATGACGATGATGATGATGATGATGATGATGATGACGATTGCATGGCACCCTGTTCCTGCTTTGACAATGCGGGTAATCGGAGACATTTTCATTTTAAGGCCATTATGACCATTATGAGCTGTTCAACCAACTGTGGAAAACTGTAAAGAATGTTTCAAACAATTTAAAGAATATTTCAAACAATTTAAAGAATATTTCCAACAATTTTCGAAGCATTTGAAGAATATTTCAAACAATTTTCGAAACATTTAAACAATGTTTGAAACAATTAAACAATGTTTGCAGCATCCCAAACAATGTACGAGGTGGAACTTTGGGGGGGTTTAGCACCGGGCTTCTTGGAGCACCTAACTTAAAGTCCCTTTATTGAACCCCTTCTCTTCGTAGACCCTCGCCGTGTCGTCGGTGTGCACTCAGCCAGCAATGCTCGAGCAGCATCTGCCGCGGTGCGAAACAAAACGTGTAGGGTGTAGGGTTTAGAGTCTTTAGATGTCTTTAGGATTTTTAAGGTTTAGGCTAGGGCTTAGGATTTTTAGGGCTTAATGTTGGAGTGGTTTTAATAAACCCCCCCCCCCTGGAGGTTGTTTTGCGCGGGCGTCTCTTGGGGCAGGGTCTGGGGTCAGGGTCGCAATAGTAAACCTCTGGCCTGCTCCGGGCCTAGTATACTAGTAGTAATAGTAGTAGTAATTAATAGTAGTCATAGTTGTAATAGTAGTAATAGTACTAATAGTAGTAGTAGTAATAGTAGTGATTAATAGTAGTAATAGTAGTGATAGTAGTAATAGTAGTAATAGTAGTAATGGTAGTAATAGTAGTAATAGTAGTAATAGAAGGGCTGCAAAGGGTTACCCTTGCCGGCTTTGTGAAATGGCTCCGTTTAAATAGAATTGGAATAAGGAACCGACCTCAAGTTTAGCTGCTGCAGTTCCTGGAGTCCGGAGTCCGTGGCTTCTTGCCAAAACCTGCAGCTTTCGAATACCAAAGCCTCTGGCTTCTTGTCCAAAGCCACTGGCTTCATAGCTTTCCCAAAAGCAAGGCTTCCCATGGGGAGCCCCTCCCCCGGAGGAGTTTATTATTGCCACCCCGTTTATAATTGCCAGAAGAAGGGCTGCAAAGGGTTACCCTTGCCGGGTTTGTGAAATGGCTCCGTTTATATAGAATTGGAATAAGGAACCGACCTCAAGTTTAGCTGCTGCAGTTCCTGGAATCCGGAGTCCCTGGCTTCTTGCCAAAGCCTGCAGCTCTCGAATACCAAAGCCTCTGGCTTCTTGTCCAAAGCCACTGGCTTCATAGCTTTCCCAAAAGCAAGGCTTCCCATGGGGAGCCCCTCCCCCGGAGGAGTTTATTATTGCCACCCCGTTTATAATTGCCAGAAGAAGGGCTGCAAAGGGTTACCCTTGCCGGGTTTGTGAAATGGCTCCGTTTATATAGAATTGGAATAAGGAACCGACCTCAAGTTTAGCTGCTGCAGTTCCTGGAATCCGGAGTCCCTGGCTTCTTGCCAAAGCCTGCAGCTCTCGAATACCAAAGCCTCTGGCTTCTTGTCCAAAGCCACTGGCTTCATAGCTTTCCCAAAAGCAAGGCTTCCCATGGGGAGCCCCTCCCCCGGAGGAGTTTATTATTGCCACCCCGTTTATAATTGCCAGAAGAAGGGCTGCAAAGGGTTACCCTTGCCGGGTTTGTGAAATGGCTCCGTTTATATAGAATTGGAATAAGGAACCGACCTCAAGTTTAGTGGCTGCAGTTCCTGGAATCCGGAGTCCCTGGCTTTTGCCAAAGCCTGCAGCTCTCTGGATGCCATTGGATCTGCCGAGGGGTGGAGTGAAATAGTCTGGAACTGCACTCTGCGAGCTAGTAGTTCAGTGTCGTCTGTGCCGATCTGCACTCTGCTGGCTGGGTTTAGGGTCCTCTTTGTTTCAGTCTCTGGTAAATACGTAGCCTCGTCTGTAGAATTTGGGGGATTTCTGAGCCCGAATATTTTAATTGTCACCCCGTTTATTATTGCGACTGGAAAATTATGATCAGTTGTTTGGCCAAATATGCCCTGCCCTTTAAACTCCTCTTACGCCCGGAAAGTCTGGCCCGGGGAATATTTTAATTGTCACCCGGTTTAATAAAACCACTCTTACATTAAGCTCTAGGGTTTGAGGTTTGAGGGTGTAATTGTCACTTTGTGGGCTCTTAAGAAGGGGTCTTTAAGGGGTACTAGAAGGGATCTATAGTAGGTTCTATTTTAGGGTCTACATTAAGGCTAGGTTCTTGTTAAGGAACTCAATCTAAGTTGCCAGAGTAGGCATCCATAGTAAATGATATGGTTTCCTCTTCATGGTAGTTTGAATCAAGGCCCTGAACAAGAACCTTTTCGTTCCGAGGGGTACTGTTGCGTTCAGGGCCAGTTCGGAGTGTGCAATGTCGAAACCTTGGTATGGCGATGATGATGACGATGGTGATGATGATGATGATGATGACGGTTGGTGATGTTGGTAATGGTGGTGGTGGTGGCGGTGGTTGCTGGGTATATGCGTTGGGTGTTATTATTATGAGGGTACCAGTAGTCAAACCCCTGTGTCACGTTGGCACATGTGCCAAATTCTTCTTAAGGCAAGCTTCAAACCCCGAGCCCTAAACCCCCAACAACCCTAAACCCTAAATCCCCTAAACCCTGGACCCTCAATCCCGGGTTTGGGGGACCTGGGCCGAAAAGACGGTACCTTGCAGGCCACCCATCTCGTCTGCACGCCCTCGCTGCTGGCCACCCTTGAAGGAACTCGCTTCTTCGCAGCATGAAGTATACCCTAAACCCTAAACCCTGCACTTGGCAGGGTCGCCTCACAGTCAATGTAGGTTTTCGAATTTAGGGTTCAGGGCGCGGGTAGGTTAAGATGGGGGTCTCAATACTTAGTCTGAAACAATGCTTTTTTTTGCCATTCTAAGTTGTTCTCTTGCTAAAATCTAGCTCAAAGGCTTATTGGGAGCAACACGGCCCCCTACTGCTCGACAAAAGTTGGGTTCCGGATCTATTTGATCTTAAACTGTAGGGATTCGAGAAATGCTCAACCTCTAGCCCTAACCCCTATATCCTGAACCCCAAACCCTGAAGCCCTTTAGAAAGGGGGATGGGGAGGCGGGTCGGCAGATGCTGGTGTGATGACTTGTAGCTTCGTTTCTTTTACGTATACCCATCCAGTATTCTTGTGGCCCAAAAGACCTACCTTTTAAGGAACCGTATATATAGAGACCATAATAAGCAACCCCATAACAGTAGGTCTTGTCCGCCACAGGTAAGCCCTAAACCATATGAGCCCCTTGCATAACCCCGACATTCCTTGCCATGGTGAAGGCTTTAGGTGCTCACATGCTGCGTGTCATTTCGAAAGCAGTCTGCCCTTCCTCATCCTGGGTTGTCCTTTGGGATCTTCTTTAATTACCCCTACTATTTCGTAGGGAACCATAATAGTAAGTAATTACTTTTCAAAGGGCTTAAAGGACAACTCATCATCCGACAACCCTGTGCAGCTACCCGGGGCTCCCAAACCTTAACCCTTAATCCGAAGCACTTGAAAGTTTGAACTTCTTGGGGCCCGGTTATTGAAGACGAGAGGCTTAGGGAGTTGCAGAGTCTTCCTCGCCATGCCGGAAGATGCGGAGAAAGACCTGAAACTCAAAGTTGACCATGAACCGAAAAGCCTAAACCGGAGTGGTAGTAATAGTAGTAGTAGTAGTAGTAGTAGTAGTAGTAGTAGTAGTAGTAGTAGTAGTAGTAGAAGTAGTAGTAGTAGTAGTAGTAGTAGTAGTAGTAGTAGTAGTAGTAGTAGAAGTAGTAGAAGTAGTAGATAAATTACCTTGGTATGGTTGGCTCTCCAGTATCCCCTGACCGCGCCCAGATCGTTTTCTGAGACTTTAGAAGCCATATAAGACTAGATATCTTTTTGCGAAAGACCGTTAAAGGATTGTTAGAGCAATCTAAGCATCTGTAGAATCTTTATTTAAACCATCACAAAACCCAGTATGCCCACTATTAAAGGGACAGGCGGAACTACACCCGAAACCCCAAACCCTTACTTAACCTCTGCGCCGTAAACCCTAAAAGCCTTAAGCCCGAAACCCAACCATCCCCCTGTCCCACATGAACTGGGAGTTTCCGTACCTCATTTAGGGATGCTTATAATAAGGATCCTACCATTTAGGGTACTATATTGGGGTCCCCTATTTTGGGAAACTCCCAACTAGGTTCCTTAGTAGTACCCTTTTGCCATTGTCCTTTTGGGGTCTCCTGGTTAAACCCGAATACTCGGAAAAGTGGTGCCCTTATTATTAAAGAGCTACTACTTGGAGGTTCATTTGCAGTAAATGGGGTTATAAGTCCCCGAGTTCATAGGTTATAACAGTAGCTACCCTACTGAAGGCTACACTGATAACTACCCATGAACCTCCAAAGCCTCCAAGTACACCCCTTTGCCCTAAACCCCCTGATCCCTGAGCCCTAAACTCTATAGAACCCTGAAAGGAACTCTACTGCACCCCAAATCCCAAGGGCACCTTAGACTTTAAATCCGTATAGAGCCCTTAAAAGGACCCTGAAAGGAACCCTTAAAGGGGGAACTGAAAAACCACAACGGAGACAAGTAGCACAACGAGACAAGTTCCCAGGACCCTGAAGCACCCCTGAACGCAGAAGACACCCCCGGGGCCCCACCTACAGGAGAGGCGACAGCCTCTTTTCCACCAAGCCAAAAGCCTGACGTGTACACTTCTCGATTTGTGCGTGTTTCGCACTCCTGGGCTCGTGCAGGACTTGGTTTCACACTGATTAAAAAGTTTTCTCTCCTCTCAAGATTGCCCTGGCGCACTCTTCACAAACGGCAGCCTAAGGCGATTGAAGAGCGTTCCCTACCAATCATCGGAGCTCATGGGCTTAGTCAACACATCGGCAAGTTGGTACCCCGTGGGCACCCAAAACAGGGGAATTCGCTCTCCAATTCGTTCGAGGGAGAAAGTTTGTCGAAGCGCGGCTAAGTCTATTGCAAGCCGTTTATCCGAAGGGATCCTTGGGATTCCTTCTCTATGGAGATGGTCAAAGAGTGACTTGCAATCAGTGATGCAACGGAGTTGTGCACCGTCCAATTGTTCTACCCTCTTGAGCTCGCCGCTCAGGATCGTCATCATGAAAGATCGTACATATTGGCCCAATTCGACTGCTTCGGAGCATGCTGTAGTCTCGGCACCGAAAGTGGATCTACATACTCTGGGATTAGCTGAAGACTTCCAGTCCAACACGCTCGCTACCCCTCCGCCTTGATCGACTTGAGATTTGTCGGTGAGCACAATCAATATACCCATCTGACTGGCAACCCTGGAATTAGCCCTCTTAGCTTTGCGGTCCTTGTGTTGGAACGGTCCATGAGTCATAATTCCAGCAGAATGGTCCTCGGGAGACAAGATGAAACCGTCCTCTCCTTCCAAGAGGGCATTGGCCCAGGCTGAATCATGGTACACGAGGAATTCAAGCGATTCTAGATCCAAAGGGCGCAACCAAATCCCCTTTTGACGGTGTTCCCATGCACGCTTGGCGATCTTGTTCGTAAATTTGATGTCCTCAACAGTGGGATACTTCTGGCATTGTTGTGCTAGCGAGACTGAGCACTGCAGATCTGTTCGTGATTGACTACTAAGCCATGACAGAGCGCCGATCAAAGATTGGTTGTCGATTCGTTGTTCCTCCGTCGCCGGGTCGAGGTCGGCCTGCCCCTTTTCAATCTTGATTTCGAACAGCCTGGAGCTAGCATAGGCCTCTTGATCAACATGTACACCGTCGGCGGAAACTCGGATGTGTGATCCGATGTAATCGAATGAATCAATTTCCCAATCGTCGACTGGAAGCACCTGACAGATTATCCCTCACAAGCTTCGAGAGATTGCGGGGTCCGACGACCAGTAGATCATCTACATGTACTCCGACGTAGACCTTCGGCTTCTTGTCCAAAGCAGAAACAAGTTGGAACAAACACGGATCAAGGGGACTCTGTTCAAAAAAGCATTCCTCACCATCAACTTGAATACGAATGTTCAGCATGTCCCTGCGGAGTCGCTTCCACCACTTGCGTGGACTATCGGGCAATCCGAACACTCCTTTGGTGATCTTAAGAAGTTGTCTTGGATCAAGCCCCCTAAGTCCGGTCCTTGGTTGACGTAGGTAAAGCTCGCGGTCCATATCGTCCCCATTCAAGCAGGCGGCTGTGATGTCGCCAGCTGATGCCTCCCAATCGTCTGATTTCCTTCGACATGCAAGGACCTGGAGCAACGTAAGGATTGTCAAACGGTTGATGGTGGGGGCATCGGTTTCGAGGTGCTTCACATCTGGATCGTGGTGCCCGGAAACCACTAATCTTGCTTTGTGCTTCCACGGAATGGAGGCGTCGAGCTTCCTTCTAGACCAGCGTTTCTACCGATTAGCAAAAAACGGGAGTTGAGGATGCGAGATGGATCAATCTTGGCAATGATCTCTTCAGACTCTTCAACCCCAATTGGTTTCAAGGCACTGTGATCAAGGTGCTCCTGAAATTGTTTGTCTTCTGCTTGCCTGAATGCTTCGTGCTCGCTTTCAGGTATGAGCTTCCACGGGATTTCTTTCTCAAGGGCCTTCTCGAGAGCACGATCAGTCTGACAACGCTTCATCATGTGTGCAGTGTGAACGTAGGGTTCAGGGGCTTTGTTACGTACCCTTCTCCGAACTGGCCCTGGCATACTGGGTTCTGTCTGTCCTTCATCACCAAACAGCTCTGGGAACAGCTCACCACCCTCAAGCTCTAGGGCAAAGTCCATATCCTCCACCATTTCTTCATCAGGAGCTGGGCGAAGTTCTTGTCCGGGATCATCGCCATCATGTTCAACACATCTCAGAGGGTTCATAATCCTCGGAAGATGTCACCGACCTCCTCCGGTGTCGACGGTCTCAAGTGCTCCTCCGCAACAAGGTGACAACGACCCCCGAATGACACCCACCAGTTCCCGCCTTCAGATCCGATGATTGTTCCCGGTCCACGCCAGGATCCCCGCTTGGTGGCAACCTTCTCTATACGGTAGAAGCTGACGAGCTCTCCAACAGCATATCCCCCTCTCTTGATCCTACTCCTCTGAACAAGTGCCTTCCGGAACTTGGAATCCGCTTGAGTACGGAAGAAAGCCATCTTCGCTGCTGTCCTGATACTAACTTCTCTCTGTCTTCTCCGATCAGCAGACAAGACCTCGATGTACCGGTCCTCGTCATTGGCACCACAGATTTCTTCTGGTGATCTTGGGTCTCGTCCAAACACGGCCTGAGTTGGGGAAAATCCGTGTCTTCTCCTCAATTCATTCTTTGCAGAATTGACTGCTTGGACGGCGAGGTACATATCTTCACTGGTGATTGATTTCTCATCGATGACGCGCCGTAGTATTTCCTGATACCAGAGTCCGTGTCGCTCTACAACACCCTGCTGCCAATGTGCCTGGCCGGCCGAACTGCGCAGGTTGCTCCCGAAGAACTCAGCGGACTTTGTGATTCCCCCTTGGAGACCTGTTTCAAGATCAGCTGAAATCGTTCCTGGTGCTCCAAAAGTGTTTCCCCACAGCTGAGTAAAACTTCGACAAAAAGCCTCGGTGGAATGCCCCTCGAGTTCGCAGACCAAGTGGAAGGTGGTAGCATGATCGATGACGGACAGGAATTCATGTCGAACTCGGTTAGCATCGAAAGCATGAAACACGTCCACACTGACCAACTGGTTCATATCAAGTAGTGAAGGAAGAGTAGCTGGCCGAGCAACTTGTGTCGCTTGGTTCCTAGCACAAGCTTCGCAGCGCATTTTCTTGCAAGCCTTAAGCACTCCTTCATCAGCTCCAGCATATCTGAGATGCCTTAGCATATCGACAATTCTGGGGTGCCCCAAATTTTGGTGAAGTCGTGTAAGAGCTGACTGTACATGCTTAGGCACGTCGCCGTCAAAGTGAATCGCTGAAGCACCTTCATGATCGATGTTATTGCGTCTGTTGTGTGAAGCCACGAATCCCTCCCGGACCCCTTCATGTACTGAATCGTCTCCTTGGTCAGGTTGTGCTGGAAGACGCCCAAGTCGTAGAGTCCGAAGTTCGCCATGTTCCTCGCAAGAGTGGGGATGCTGTCCTAGGAGATCACTGAGGGCTCGGGAATTCCAGATGGGGTCGTAAAAGAGTCCTTGTAGTACCACGGAACCACCACATCCAAGCTGGTAGTCAATGGTTTGCAACACCCGTTCTCCACGTTGGATGAACTCACTCTCACCTTGGAACCAAACTACATTGGGCTTCAACGTCTGGATGGTGTGATGTACATCGAACTTGAGATCACTATCGAGATACTCTTCCCAAGAGATAGGCTCCACAACGTGCGCTCCTGCCTCGGTCATCTGATAGGTGATGTTGGTGCCACCGATCTCGAAAACGCATGCTTGTTCAACCGCCTTTCCTGAGGGCATGTATTCGCTCAGAAACGAAGAAGCTGCCGCCAACCCGAGAGTGGGGAAAGCACTAGCTCTCTGTGCACCTTTCCACAAAGATTTCCTGATGCTCTTCTTGGGCCGCTTGAAAGATTCTCGATCGCATGGACTGGAACCTTCATGTCTCCCAAGAGGAAAACCAAAGGTTCGCAACACATCCCGTTCTGTCCTTGAGAGGTGGTGCACACCGCGGGTCGTGTAGGCGACGATTGAGCATCGGTCACCTTCCCATTCTTCTACCGCATGTCTGGTCTTAGGAGAAAAGTCTGTCATGTGTTCACACGTGTTCACGACCTCACCGATTGCCTCGGTCCCGTCCGAGAGCTTGACGTTCTGGAAGTCGGAGGCTCCATCAACCTTAGCATTGGGATCACTTTGAAGCCACAAACGTCCACCGTTGTAGTCACCGAAAGCAATCGTCCAGCAACGAGTACCCGAAAGGTTATGGGCATCCTTGTCGGGGCCGACATGACAATTATGACGAAGCTGAAAAGTGCTCCAATGACCGTGCGCCCCGTGGGTCTTCATAAGTGCATTGATGTACTTTGTGGTCTGATGGAAAGCGTAAGTCTTCTGGATAATGCCATAGTGGTTCCCATGCGAGTAGCCCCCTAGTGCAATACTGTCGGTGCCCTGGTTGATTTTCCTCCTTCGTAGACTCTGAGCTCTTTGACAAACCGCTCGGACGATTTTCTCACATGTGGAGAAGGTGAAGTCCTTCTGTGCAAGACGGTCTTTTGCAAAATGTTCAACGGAGTTCCCAATGGTATCTGCACCGGGTATGTCTTCACGAGCCTCATAGAAAATCTCAAGGGAGTCCGCCTCCACACGTGTTTCCCGAGGAGAAAAGTTGGCAGTGAAGGTTTCGCCCGGCTCTTCAAATTGATCTAAGGGGACCTCCTCCTCGAGCTCGTCCTCAATCACAAACCGTGCTTGTCCTTCAGGGCTGCCAGACGGCTCATCAATGCATCTCCTCTCGGACCTCCGACGGGATCTCCTGTTCCATAGGCTTTTGTCCCTTCGCTGTCTCGTCCGTTGTCCTCTTCATCGGGGCGGCCTTCGGGGGCTGCTCCGTAGGTCCAGCCATCACCTTCGTCCCGTAGCCCATTCCTGCATTCATCGTCTTGGCCGTCTCTGTCAACTCCGACCAATGGGTCTCCCAGCTGGATCCGTCCTCCGAGGGAAGGGGAACCCTCGCATCGATCTCCGGATTGTAGGTGATCGTTTCCTCGGGCTCCAGGAGACTCCTGGCGTAATTCGCCAAGCTCACAAGGTCTGGCCCCGAGTTCTCGACTCCCCGAGCCTTGACCTCCTTCATCGCCCAATCCAGGTACTGGGACGGCACTTCTTTGAAGAGCTTTCCTCGGTGTCGTCCAAATGTGACGAGTGCCTCTGCTTTGTTGCGCGTGGCCGCGTCCCGGATGAGCATCTGAAGCTGGCCCTTCGTCGGTTTGGTCGGCATTTCGATCTGATACTCCACGGCCTGGGCCTTCAATTGGTCGAGCGTCATCGATGCTAGCCCTTTCGGGACTGACGACCCCTCGGATTCCCGCTTGTGGTCCGTGATCACCTGTCTGATTTCTCCCACAGACCAAGTCGCGTGAATCGTGAGATTCAAGCGCATTGCCTCTGCCATCAATTCCGTCTTTGTCATCTTCCAGACATTCACCGGAGCGCTGGATGAGGACATCTGGAACTTCTGGAGCTGGGACAACCGCGGGACTACCGAAAAGCGGGGGCCTAGCAGTGGCTCGAGAGAAGACGGACCTGCCGACCCAAAGAACTGGATGAAGTGCATCAAGATGATCATGCCAGAAATCATGTGTGGTACCCAATCCATCAAGCGTACTGCAAGAGATTCCCGAAGTACTTCCAATGCCCCCTAAGAGGCCGAGGAGCCTGTCCTTCGTAGTCGATTGTGAGGTAATCCACTTGGTCGGATCGAAGAATCCTCGACGGGGGATCACATGAATCCCAATGAAGAAATTGGGGGTCTCAATCCAGAAATCTTTGGAGATTGGAGTTTGACTCCACCAGGTGGCGAACGATTGCACATTGAGAGGTTCTGCACAAAGTAGATTGCGCACACAGTCGTTGATCTTCTTCGGGTGGAATAAATTCAGTCCTGGAGTCGGGTCAGGGTTCTTGCTCAATGGTTCACATCTGGGAATCGGATCAACAGGAACGCTTGCATCCCCTTCGACAGCACTGACCATGTATGACATGTATTGCGACTCAGCTGGGGGAACGATGATCACCTCAGAGCCGGCCCACTGTTGGGGCGTAGGCCACTTCAATCCCGGAACACGTTTCGGTGACACTGGGATCGCCGGATGGCCGCTGTCCGTCGTGAGCAACATGTACTTGTCGATTCCGAGCTTCTTAAACTGAGCCGAATGATCTTCCAAATCATAAACCATCCCAAGCTTGCTCAGCGCGCTACGGCTCATGAGGAGTGGCACTTCTCCCTGGGCCACAGAAGCCTTCAGCATGAACACCCGGTTGCGAATCTGGATCATGATTGTGGCTGAAAAGCTAGCGTGGAACAGCTTCGAAGCTCCGAACCTGAAGTCGTCATGGCAATCCAGGAATTGAACTTCGACGCCAACTTCTTTAGCCAGGCGCACATAGGACTCCAACCAACCCTGTCCCATCACCGATTTCGAACATGCTGTGTCCGTAATCGCAGGAAGGCGATCACCACCGAGATCCCCAACCATGTAAGCGACCTCAACGATGCTAGCCGGGACATCTGGAGAGACCGAGGTCGCATGCACTTGGTGGTCCTGGGCGGTCTTTGGTTTCGAAGCTGGGTTTCCATTCTTGTTCAAAGGGCGTTCCGGATCTTTGTGCCAATGGCCGCGTCTACCGCAGCCTGCGCAATAGCTGCGAAGCTCTGCCTGAGCGAGGCGATCGTCGATCTGTTGGCGAGTCACCTCATCACCGCTTTTCTTCTTGAGAGTCTCAGGGTCAATCCCCCGGGCCTTTACGACATCTCTGTAACGAGCTTTGGCGGACTCCTGTGCAACGAATGCTTCGTGAAGTTCCACAGCAACTTCTTCAGAAATGTAGGTCTCCGAACTGTCCTCCTCTTCAATGCCCTTCAGACCCTCTTCGTCATCAACTCCCGTGTAGAATGCACTTCTCGTACCCTTCCCTTCACCCTGCGGCTTAGGAACCCAGGGCCCGCGAAGCGATTTCTCATGGAGGATGGCTGCTTTCTGAAGCTTAGCAGTACTGTAGTCATTTCCGACAGAAGCCAAAAGAGACAACTCTTCTGTGTTGCTGAGGCCCAGGGCGTTGAGATAGGCCCAGGCACGGGCGACTTCTGGAAGCTTGCAATCGATTTCTAGGAGTCGTGAATGGCTCCGATCAAAGACCGAGTTGAATTCTCTGATCGATTGTCCATTCTGTCGCTTCATCTTCTTGAAGAAAAGAGTCAATGCTTCAGCAATGCGGCTCACTTCAACTTCTTGGTATCTCTCACGAATCCATGACTTGAAGATCTGCAACCCACGTTCACTTGCTAGGTCCTCGACACTCAATTCCTCTGATTCAACCCACGCTCGGCCGCTAAGATGTTGATAAAGGAGAAGAGCTTGCTGGGCTGGCGCGGTGCGTGTGACTTTGCTCCAGGCTTCGATCTGTCGCAAATACGACCTAGCTGAAACACCCAGTTCATCCCCACTTCCAGTCGCCCCGAAAGTAGGAACCGCCATCTTCTCACTGAAAGAGCCCTTCGAATCAGCCTTCCCAGAAGTCTCTGAGGTCACCGAGCCGCTGTCACGGCTCTGCCGCAAAGGAGTCCTCGTCGCATCGGTGCTCTCCTGGGTGGCGGTCGAAGGTCTCCGCACATCCTGTGAGCTCTCATCAGGGTTTGAGGGGTCGCTCGAAGCAGGCGGGTCTTCGGAATTCTCATCTTGCTCGCGCTGTGCCGACTGCTCTGGGTCGCCAGAGCTGCTATGTTGGTTCCAGGAATCATAATCACCCCATGATCCAGGATGTCGCCAGGCACTACGGTAGTTGTTGTAGTAACCCCAAGGCTGCCAAGACCAACGATCACCCGAACTCCAGTGCTGATCCTCCCAAGAATCCCAACCAGAGCTATATTGATCGTAGTAATCCCGCTGCCAGCTGCCCCACGGAGAACTGTCGCTTGGTTGTCGGGCCCAACCTCCGTCGTCATGAGATGCCACACCGGGCGGGTCGTCGTCAGGAGGAGAACCCGAAGGCTCGGTCGTCGGAGCCACCATGTGGCTACACGGGGGGGTCCTAAGGCCTACGTTCCTTAAACCCCACAGACACAGACAAGAAACTCAGTACAGCACAGACCACAAGCAAAACACAGGAAGTCACGATCCCCGGCGCGGCCTGGGCTCCGCTACCAATGAAAAACCACAACGGAGACAAGTAGCACAACGAGACAAGTTCCCAGGACCCTGAAGCACCCCTGAACGCAGAAGACACCCCCGGGGCCCCACCTACAGGAGAGGCGACAGCCTCTTTTCCACCAAGCCAAAAGCCTGACGTGTACACTTCTCGATTTGTGCGTGTTTCGCACTCCTGGGCTCGTGCAGGACTTGGTTTCACAGGAACCCTTCAAGGGACCCCCTTAAAGGAGGAGCCCTTAAAGGGACCCCTTTAAAGGGGGAAAGCCGGGAACCGAGGCTTCGCGCAGCCGCAGGCGCCGAGTCGCAGCGAAGGGTTTCGGCAGAGTTCATTGGACCATTGGAGCTTCTCTTGGGTTCATAGGAGGCTTCGGGGTACCTAGAAATAATTTTGTAATTTTTGGTTAATATTAGTATAATCCCTAAGAAACAGCTAAAATTTAATTTTTGCTAGGCATTTAAGTTCAGTATAGGAGGCCAAAAGGGGTTTTAGCCTATGGGGGTTTAGTAGGGATTAGGGTTCCCATAATCGGGTTCATATTGAGGAATCCCTACCCCAAGAATCTTGAACCCCCCTTTTTGGCCTCCCATCATAGGTAGCCACTTAGGGGTACTTGGAAATAATTTTTAATCTTTGGTTCCTTTGATCCCTAAGAAACAGCGAAAATTATAATGTTTGCTAGGGGTCTAAGTTCAGTAGAGGCCAGTGGCAGAACTTTAAGATTTTTGGCATGTGGTCTATCGTTGAAAGTTTGAGTTTTTTGACATCCGGATATTGAAGAAGAGAGTTACTTGTAGCATACATGTCGGAACGCAAAATCGAGAAGGGGTTCAGTGGAAGTGAGGGATTTGGCATAAAGGTCTTGTTCTTTAGATAATCCTCAAACCCTACACCCTAAGCAAAAAAACCTAACCCCTAAACTCTATTCTATGCAGTTTACAGTAGAGTATAAAGAACCCTGAACCTCCTACATCCTAAACCCAACATGCCCGAAATCCCTGGTCTAGTCATACAGGCCGTTACATTCCCAGAGACCCCAAAAGAATCGTTTAGTTGAGCAATATCCCTTAAGCTATGATAGGGTCCCCAATGTGATTTAAGGGATATTCCTTAATTAGCGTTTAGGGCTTGTGAACCCCCAGTATTAGAGTCTCCGGGTTCGGTTTCGTTGCAGCTCGCAGCAGACGCAACGATTTTATGTTTGGAGTACAATGGCCACTCAGTTAGTAGGTTCTACCTGGGTTATGCAATGCTTGACATGGGGCTGCCGTGCTTAGTTGAACAGGTTTCGTGTGCACGCTAAACCCTAAACCTAAGTCCCCCAACCCTCCTAAGCCCTAAAGCCTAAACCCCTAAACCCTGAACCCTACAAACCCTAAATCCCAAAACCCTGAACCCTAAACCCTGCAAACCCGAAACCCTAAACCCTTGTTGAAATACATGCTTCCTCCGATGACTCCGCTTGTGCAAGGAGAACGCTTTTTATACGATTGCTGTATGGCTTAAGCTCTTCGGTGATCAAAAGGGGATATAGCCAGCTGTCGGCAATTGCACAGTGTATAGTAAAGACCAACAGCACATGCCGTCCCGAGCAGCATTCCTCTATGCCGTAAAAAGAGTGCGATCGATCCTTTGTTGATGGCCTTTGGCGCTTGCTGTCTGTGAGCATAAGACCTCTTTGACTTCAACATTGGAACCCAAATTCGAGAACTTCAAGTTCAATCGGGTATGAGTGCCCAAAGCCAGGGCGACTCCGCAGTGACTGGAAGGATGGCTTGTGGAGCTCAGAATGAGAGTTCTGGGTTGCAGAATGGCGTGACGCAAGAGCAGTTGGTTTCGGCCCCTCGGGAAGCAACTACTATCCAGACGGAGAATCCCAATACGGGAGACGTGATGCTACCTGTGGATAGAACTGGAACAATGACTGCAGAAGAGAGCGGAGCGTTTTCTCAACCGCAACCGGCCGATCCTCCCTATGGAAGGGAACCGCATGTGGGCGCGAACGTTATAATGCCACAAATGGCAGACGTGGCGGCAGCACAGCAGAGTTTCCCATCTCCACCTACACCGGCAAGTGCGATGCATGTTCAGGAGTTCTTCACCGCGCAATCAGGGGCTTCTGGAACAGAGGTGCAGGGAGTGAGATGGATGGCAAGGTTTACGGAGTTCTTGAGATCTACGGCCTCGAGGGGAGCACAGGGAGTGGACCGGGTTTTGGACAACCTGGGTATTCCTCCCATCCCACCGAGGGAGTCAAGGACTATATCATCGACAACGTGGCAACAACAAGGATTCTCACCACCGGAGAATCTACCACCTCCGGTTGCATCAGTGCCACCAGTTCCAGGTTCGTGGACAAATCAGCCAGCTGGTATGGAAGCAACACCTTTGTTTGGCCAAGCAGATTTGATGAGAATGAGGAGATCGCAACTGGAATATCCGCAGCTATATGGACCTTCGCAGTTATCGGATGGAGGGTCTGAACCCTCGTCGCGTTTGCAAGCGGAAGTCCAGAGGCAGCTTGAAGAGTACAAGGCAAGGCAGCAGCAACAAGTGGAGCGCCTACAGCAGGAAGTTGCGGCTTTGAGAGAAGAGAGGGAGCGTGAAAGGCGGTTTAGAGAAGGAGGTCAGGCAGCTCAATATCCAGACCTTCGTCTACGCCAAGGACCACCACCAGGGCTTCAACAGCCACAAAGCTTGAGCGCATTGAGAGGGGATATAGCTCCGCTACCACAGAGTGCTAATGTGCCAACTGGGGCTAATGGGCTTCATGTGTTGAGTGCTAATGTACCAAGCGGGTGTCCACCTCCACTACCTCAGAGTTCAAGCGTACCAAGCGGGTGTCCACCTACACTACCTCAGAGTTCAGGCGTACCAAGCGGGTGTTCAGCTCCACTACCTCAGAGTTCAGGCGTACCAAGCGGGTGTTCAGCTCCACTACCTCAGAGTTCAGGCGTACCAAGCGGGTGTTCAGCTCCACTACCTCAGAGTTCAGGCGTACCAAGCGGGTGTTCAGCTCCACTACCTCAGAGTTCAGGCGTACCAAGCGGGTGTTCAGCTCCACTACCTCAGAGTTCAGGCGTACCAAGCGGGTGTTCAGCTCCACTACCTCAGAGTTGTACCAAGCGGGTGTCAGCTTCGATGTCGCAGAACCCAGGTGTATCACAGAATCCGATCACCGTGCTGACTAATGGAATGGCACAGCTCCAGGCCGCGATGCTTAAGCAACTGGACAAAGGAAGCAGTGAAGACCGTTCCCCAGAAGCTGTGAAACCAGGTACCTTAGCTCTTCCAGCACTTCGTGAAGTTTCGGCAGATACGAGCTGTGTGGACATCATCGATTGGGTTGAAATGATCAATGGTCCTATGTCGGACTTGTCGGACAGCAGCGCAGGATGGTGGAAAAAGGTGATGTCGGAAGCTAACAGGGCCTATGGAGTGTGGTCGCTTTCAAGCCCGTTGGAAAGGTTGGCGGTGTCACCCGAGATCGGCGACTTGGAGGCTGGCAGGTTTTCGAGAGTCAACAGCAGAGCAGCGGCGATGATTGTGACATCGCTTCATGATTCAGTCCGTCAAGAAGTTGTTGCTCGGAGACTGACGGGTTCAACGGTGGGGCTTATGTTCAGGCTTTTGACAATGTACCAACCAGGGGGCGAGGAGGAAAAGTTCAAGATATTGCAGAATTTGCAATCGCCCACGGCTGAGAGCGAGGCTGCCAAGGCTGTGTCTTCGTTGAGGGCATGGCACAGATGGTTGAGACGTTGCCGAGAACTTCATGTGCAGGCTCCAGACCCTAGTCTCTTGGCCAGAGGGCTGACGAATATGGTGAGGTCTGTGTTAGACAAAAGCCAAGATGCCACTTTCAGAACCTCTTTGGTGAAGTCTACGTTGCAAATAGACACAAACCCGAGCTATGACAAAGTGGACAGCTACTTTAAGCACTTGATGGCAGAATGCGAGGCCCTTGCAGTGGCAGCCACTTCAACCACTACGACTGTGGTGCTGCAGCGCCCTGATGCTCGGTTGAAGCCAGCTAGGGCGGATCCAAAAGGACAACAGCAAACCCCGACGCCTACGCCATCTCAGAGAACGACCTCACCGGCTCCTACAACTACAAAGCCAGAGGAGCAGGGGAAGGGCACTTCAAAAGGGGAAGTTCCATGCAGGTTCTTTGGCAAGACGGCGAAGGGATGCAATCGTGCAGGGAAATGCCCTTTTCTACATAGTTGGGAAGGTTTGGACAAAAAGGACCGTTGCTTGACTTGTGGAGGCAAAGGCCACACTACGAAGGAATGTGCAACCAAAAGGACCCCACCTACTTCGAGCGGCAATACCCCTAAGAACGCAGCGGATAAGAACAATGGATCCTCGACCTCAACACCCTCGACTCGAACTGTTCGCATCGACGACAAGCCTGAGGTAACCAATGTGACTGCGTCTGCGACGGAGACCTCTGCAAGCTCTGTTGACATCAAGGATGTGTTGGCGGATGTTGGCAAAGTCTTGAAAGCAATGCAAGCTACAACGATAAAGACCATGAAGGTAACGAATGGACAGAGCCCCCACGACAAGCAGAAGATTGTGAAGGAAATCCAGGTAGAGATGCCCAAGAAGTCTGGTCTGGAACCTAGCAATAAGCAGAAGATTGTGGAGGAAATCCATGTCGAGATGCCCAAGAAGTCTGGTCTGGTCATTAGTGAGTTGCAAAGGATAGCGGAGGAAATCCAGGTGAGGATGCTCAAGAAGTCTGGTACTTCCGACAAAGGCTTGGAATCAGTGCTCAAGGGCATCCTCGCTAAGGACAATGAAGGGTCACCAGATGGTCTTTTGGACAGTGGCGCGAGTCACCCTATGAGGTCAGCTCCGACGTCGGAGTACGAAAGTGGCAGCCCAGTTTCTGTGACCCTAGCCGGAGAAGATGTTAAGGTTCTTCGACAGAACAGACAAGGGACAATATTGGTTGAAGAAGAACAGGGACCGGTGCAGTCTATCGTGCCCTTGGGTGCAATCATCCAGGAGTTGGGGTACACGTTGCACTGGGGTCCGAAGCACCTCAAGCTCGCTCATCCCGAAAAAGGTCCCATCCGGGTGAAGGTCAACAACAACTGTCCTGAAGTTGCAGCATGTGATGCTTTGGCTTTGATACGTGAGCTGGAGATGAAGCAGGTGAAGGAGTTGACGTCTTCGGTGAATACGTTGCGCGCGAGGCTGGAAGTCTTGAAACTAGAGGAGAAAAGAGATTGGACCGAGCTGTTGAAGGAGTACATGTCTGATGGACAGAGGAGCACCCTTCTCAAAGCGTTGATGAAGTGTCCCTTTACAAAGGGGCTTCCATCAGAGGTCCAGTCTATGCTCCTGGAGGACTTCAACCTGAAAGATGGAGAGAAGTATTTGCGTAATCTTCCATTGACCAGAAGAAAGAGGCGAGCTTTGTTGACGTCATCCAATTGGGTGGTGTCGCTGTTCATGGGAGAGAAGGATGCAAAGGATCCGTTCAAGATGGTGCCAATGGCAGGAAAGATCCTCTTGGAAGTTGACATGAAGTATTCAAAGTTGTGGGATTTCAACAAGGGTGCCGGTGTGTATCAACTTCTGTTATGGGCGGCGGCTTCCGGAAGAATTTCGGATTTGGTTTCGTCCCTGCCGGACAGATCATGGACTACCAGTCAATCACCCCATAGGGGACATGTGGTAGAGCAACAGCGAACCATGGAAGAACCCTTTGGAAAGGAAGGTCTATCTCCACTTCAACAACAACGAGCGCATCAAGAAACCGCTTATGCTGTAAAGCAGATGTTGGTTTGGACAATGGCCACAATGAAGGGTCAAGGCAACATTGGATTCCTTATGGAGCTACCTGCCGATCCAGAATGGCACATGGAGACGGAGTACCCCTACTCTACCTTTTGGAGGACGGAGCTATGGAAAAGCTTCAAGTCGGTCTCAGGTATGTGCACAGCGTCCTTCAATATGGGGGCCTATGGACACAGAACAAAAAGACCAACCAAGGTGGGAACGAACTATCCTGCTATAATCCAGATGGAGGGGAACTACGACTTCAATGATCAATGCGTTCCACCCTCTCTTCTAACGAGGTCTACGACGAGGCAATGGTCAGATGGGTTCAAGAAGATTGTCATGGAATCGTTGTCTGATTTTCACGAGGGCTTGATTGCAGAAGAGGAAGCCTTAGCGGACCTTGGAGTGAAGTTGACCAAACTGACGAAGGAACAGAGGGAAGGATGGAGGAACCATTTGTTGAACGACCATCAGCCTTACAGGGCAGACTGTGCTGTGTGCATCAATGCCCAGGCGAATGGCTATCAACATCGGCGACGACGCCACCCACACTTGTATACGGTTGCGCTGGATGTTGCGGGTCCTTATGCTACAAAGGGCAGAGATATGGAGAATGAAGATTACAAGTACATGCTGATTGCTGCGTATCGATGCCCTCGGGACTACATGAGCATGAAGGCGCTATCAGAAGAAGAAAGAGAGCTTTATGTTCCTGATGAAGATGAAGCTGGTGAAGGTGGCCCAGAGGACCCATTCGTGCTTGAGGAGGAGGACTCCTTAGAGAAGGAAAGTGTTGAACCCACAAGTGAAGAAGAGGATAAACCGATGGGACCGATAACTCTTGATGAGGAGGTGGAAAACCTGACCAAGAAGATTGACACTAAAACCATCTACGTGGCTAGACCCCTGAGGAGGAGAACCACTTCGGAAGTGTTAACTGCGTCAAGGGAAATACTTCTTCAACTACGACAGAGCGGACTACACGTGGAAGCTGTCCATACGGATAGGGCCCGGGAGTTCGGTTCCAGGGCTTACAAAGAATGGGTTGCATCAAGTGATCTACGTCATACCAAGTCTGCTGGTGGCGACCCATCTGGGAACAGTACAGCAGAGCTGGGAGTAAAGTGGATAAAATCCAGGGTGAGGGCGCTACTTCGAGGAGGAGGTGCAGAACCGAAAGAATGGCCAATGGCGATGCATCATGCAACCTCGCTGGAGTGGTCAAAAGCCTTCCCCCACAGTCCATGGTCCCTACCTCCAGTGGCACCGTTTGGGAGTGAAGTTTGGTTCAGAGCGAAGAACTACAAGGGTACCAAAGAGAAGATGCATGAAGCTGATGGTGTGAGGTGGAAAAAGGGATGGTACCGAGGACCGTCTACCGACGTGAGTAGGGGCCACTTGATTCAAAGGGAAGATGGTGGATTGGTGATTGCCAAAGGGGTGAAGTTCAACGTGTTAGATGACAACCCCGAGCTACGTGATTTACTACCACCAATGACCGTCGAAGGTATGTCCTTAACCCTTTGCGCCGAACCAGAACCACAGGGTTTAGATCAACAAGGCTTATATGAAAGGAACCCAAAATCTTATTTTTGTATGTGGTTGGCTTTATTTGTGTTTAAAAGTGTTTTCTTGCATTTAAAAGTGGTGTTTTGTATTTAAAAGTTTTTTAAATATGTTTTTTGTGTTTTACAGTTGTTAAATTTTTTTAATTTTATTTTTGGTGTAAAAAAATACATGTTTGTGAATTATGAGTTTTTGTTTCTGATTGAGTCAAATGGCTTCCTGTTGTTCTACCTGGTTTCCTGCAGCTGTACGTCTACAATTTTTTATTTGTTTTTGAAGTGCTTATTTCATCAATATAAATATTTTTGGTTGTGATTGAGTCAAATGATAAATGGCATCCTGCTGTTCAACCTGGCTTCCTGCTGTTCTACGTCTACAAATTTGTTTGTATTTGTTTTTAAAGTAGTTTATCAATTTAAGTTGGGGGTTGTGATCGAGTCTAAGGGTTTAGGGTTTCCTTGAAATGCCGACCTTCCCCACATGGATTCGAGCGGTGCAGTGGTGTGTCGTACAGTAGTAGTACAAGTAATAGCACAGTAGTAATGCAGTAGTACAAGAGTAGTACCATATTTAGTAGTACAGTAGCAGTGCAATAGCAATACAGAAGTACAGTAGTAAGAGGGTAGTAGTAAAGTGGTAGTACAGTAGGGGTACATTACAAGGGTGTGGGAGTACCTGGAGCTGTTTAGCAGGGTGTGGGCACGACCAAAGTCCAAACCACGATCACTCCAAGATACCAACACTAAAACCTTTTATGTTGAGAACTTTTTCGTCCGGCCTACACTCCTGTACAGCAGTGCATTAGTATTGCAATAGTACAGTAGTAGGACAGTCGTAGAAGAGAAATACATAAAATCAGTCGGCCCAACAAAGAACGCACTAATCATTAATTAGGCCACCATTTTTTTGATACAGCCCGAATAAGCACGGGAAACACGCATCAACTAGGCACACCGGACCAGAAGGACCCCCACATTAACCTGTATTAGTGGTGTGATGCTATTAGTCAATTTCAGTATTCGCATGCGTTTGGCATGTTGCTACTTGTTTGTGTTTGCTTGGTGACTGTTTTGTGCAAGTCTGTTGTTGTGTGTCTTGGCTCAAAACTTCTTCACAAAAAAGCGAATCACAACGTCGCCTCCTGCTTGGAAGCAAAACAAGATATAGAAAACCTGGCTCAGTCTGGTCAAGTTTGTTTCGGTAATGTTTTTTTCAAAAAAGGAGAGCCCAAATTTAGGAAAAGGGAAAAGCAATCCACACTGGGGTGATTGAGCCGGGGACCGGCCATCCGCCCCCAGCCCAGCCCAATTCCAAGATGCCGCATCGTCAGCCCAGCCAGCCCACCCCCCCCCCAGCCGACCCCCCCCCACCCGACCCACCCCCTACTTTCGGGGGACACCCATTGCGATTTGATGATTTTGGTTTGGGGACAGGCACCGGACACCCCTTGCGAGCTGCGAGTTTTTGGACAGCCGTAGGGGGAGCCCTTGCGGTTCATGATTTGGGAACCTATTTTTTAATACAACCTGCAGGGAGACACTCTTTGCGATCCGTGATTTTGGGATCCGCGATTCTTCAAAACCTAATCGGACACCCCTTGCGGGCCCCAGCCCCCAACCCCAGCCCACCACCGCATCTGTTGGCAAAATCTGGCGGAAGTGAGCCGCCACCGAGCAGAAAGCCTGTAAATACCGCGTTAAAACAACGGCCAGGGATCCCACACATCTGCGGGCAAAATCTGGCGGAAGTGATCCGCCACCGAGCAAAAAGCCTGTAAATACCGCATTAAACAAAGGGCCAGGGATTTCACACATCTGTTGGCAAAATCTGGCGGAAGTGACTGCTCACTTCCGCCAGATTTTGCCAACAGATGTGTGAAATCCCTGGCCCTTTGTTTAATGCGGTATTTACAGGCTTTTTGCTCGGTGGCGGATCACTTCCGCCAGATTTTGCCCGCAGATGTGTGGGATCCCTGGCCGTTGTTTTAACGCGGTATTTACAGGCTTTCTGCTCGGTCGCGGCTCGCAGGGAAGGCTGAGCGTGGGCTGGGGGACTGGCGGGTGGGGCCCTTCACTACACCCTCCCCCAACCCCTTTTCTCCCTGCCTTCACCCAGCCCCCGCCCAACAGGCCCAACAGGCCCCAACAGGCCCAGCAGGCCCAGCAGCCCCAGCCCCAGCAGCATTTTATCATGAAGCCTTTTCCGGAAGATCGGCCCGGCAAAATCTTAGAAGACATTTGTGGCACTTGTGGCACGCCCCGGAAAAATCTTATTAAATCTTATTAAATCTTATTGAATCTTATTGAATCTTATTGAATCTTATTAAATCTTATTGAATCTTATTGAATCTTATTGGTCCATCATTTTTAAAAGGGACACGACTCCAGATCGCCCCAAAAAATCTTATTGAATCTTATTGAATCTTAGAAGACATTTGTACAATTGTGGCCTACCCCGGAAAAATCTTATTAAATCTTATTAAATCTTATTGAATCTTATTGAATCTTATTGAATCTTATTGAATCTTATTAAATCTTATTGAATCTTATTGAATCTTAGAAGACATTTGTACAATTGTGGCCTACCCCGAAAAAATCTTATTGAATCTTATTGAATCTTATTGCTCAGCCCTGTTGATCCAAACTTTGTGGTTTTGGCTTGTTGCGAATTTATAACTTTTTCCTTGGAAAATCTCAAATATTCGCCACCGTTTCGCGGGGGGCTCCCGCCCCCCGCACCCCCTGGATCGAGGGCTTGCCCCCCTCGAGCTCCCCCCTTCCCCCCAAGCCCCCCACCGGGGGAAAGGGGGGGATACCCCCCCTTGAACCCCCCGTGGAAGCATATTTCTTGGATAGATAGATCGAGATTCCCTTTGCAAGGAGATTACATAAAATCTTGTCAGTGTTAGAAAGGAAAACAACCCAAATAAAATATTACTACATCTAACTATAAATCTCATTAAATCTTAATTCGTCTTCAAAAATTATGAAGTCCCGAGCCCGGTCCCCAGCCCTCGCCCTTGCGCCTTATCAGCCCACCCCCCAGGCCAGCCTCGCCCCCGCGCCAAACTCAAAGCCATGACCCTATAAGCACATATAGATACCAGATATGACAGCAAACAGCAAAACCTTTAAAGAGCAAAGTCAAAGCACCCACACAAAGCAAAGTTTACAGGGGCGCTCCCTGCTTGAGTCGATGAAACACACTACTGTGCTTGTACTGTGCTACTACTGTACTACCATTGCACCAATGTACTACTATGCTACTGTACTACTGTACTCTGTACTACACGCCACTGTACCGTACCAGGCCTCAAACTTGGTCGATCGTGGGGGTGGTTAGGTTGGAGGCAAAAGTCTTCAACATGAAAGGTGTGCAGTGTTATCGGGGCTTGTTTTCAAGTTTTTGGTGATCCCCAAGCCCCCCGATTGCGGCGTTCGCGCAGGTTTCAAACCGACCATGCGACCCCCCATTTCCCTTCTAACTTATCCAAAGCCATTCAGACCCTCAGCCAGCCGAACCCCGGTCCAGGGGGTCACGGACACCAGACTATTCAAACCAAGAACCTTTGGTCGAGGGGGGGTGGCTATTAAACGGCCGCCACATCACAGGTAGCAGAGATACAAGAAGAAGCTCGATGATGCACAGGTGAGTACATGTAATCGTCCAGTAGTAATGCATGTAATGGTACAGTAGTAATGCAGTAGTAGTACAGTAGTAACACGGTACGAGGTTTTTAAGTGTACTTGGAGCTGTTTAACGGTTTGGGGGGATCACCAAAGGCTGGAAACCAAAAGCCCCGATCACTCCAAGATACTACCAACACTGAAAACCTTTCATTTTGAAGACTTGTGCCTCCAACCTACACTCCCTTTCACAATCGACTATGTCTGAGGCCTGGTACGGTACAGTAGTAGTACAACAGGGTAGAGTAGTACAATAGTAGTACTGTAGTACGACAGTCGTACAGTAGTAGATACAGTGCAGTGTTTAGGGGTACTTGGAGCTGTCTAGCGAGGTTTGGGGACGACCAAAAGTCGAAGCCAAGACACGGTCACTCAACGAGAACTACCAAAACTGCAAACCTTTCACTCTGAAGACTTTTGCCTCCAACCTACACTCCCCTCCACAATCGACCACGTCTGAGGCCTGGTGCGGTGCAGTGGTGTGTCGTGCAGTAGTAGTACAAGTACTAGCACAGTAGTAGTACAGTAGTACAAAAGTAGTACCGTCGTAGTACAGTAGCGGTGCGATAGCAGTACAGAAGTATACTTGTAAGAGGGTAGTAGTAAAGTGGTAGTACAGTAGTATTAAAGTAGTTGTACAGTAGTGGTACAGTACGAGGGTGTGGGAGTACCTGGAGCTGTTGCGCGGGGGTTTGGGCACGACCAAAAGCCCGAAGCCAAGCCACGATCATTCCAAGATAACTACCAAAACTGAAGCCCATTCATGTTGAAGACTTTGGGACTTTGCCTTTCAGCCATTAGCCTTCAACCATATACCATGGCACTCTGCCTTCTACCCCTACACCCTAAAACCCTGAAACTCTAACCCTAACCCTTTCATTACCCTCAAACCCCTAATACTATGGCACTCTGCCTTCTAACCCCAAACCCTAAAGACCCTGAAACTGTAAACCCTGTGCCAGGTCTTCTTCATCCTCGTCTTCTTGGAAAACACCTTAAAAATGTAGAAAAAATACTTTTTTTGTGTTTTAAAATTTTTAAAAAATTTTAAAAGTTGTTTAAAGTCTTTAAAAGTCTTTCAAAGTCTTTTTAAAGTTTGTAAATGCTTTTAAAAGCTTTTAAAAGTCTTTTAAAGTCTTTTTAAAGCTTTTAAATGTATTTTAATGTTTTTAAAAGTATTTTAAATATTTTAAAAGCCTTTTAAAGTTTTGAAAAGTCTTTTAAAGTTTGCAAAAGTCTTCTAAAAGTTTCTAAAAGTCTTTTAAAGTCTTCTAAAAGTTTTTAGAATGTTTTTTCTTGCATTTTAAAGTTTTTAAAAGTCTGTAAAAGTCTTTAAAAGCCAACTCTGTCGAAAAAGCCCTGTGGATCTAAACCTTGTGGTTCTGGTTCGGTGCAAAAGGGCAATGAGTATGCCTGTGGATGACGATAGGACCAAGCCGACCAAGCAGCAACTTGCCGAGGAAATCGAGTTCACTTCACGAAAGCTTCTGAGCGAAAAGAATTACGACTTGAATGAAGTTGTGAACTTATTCTACAAGCTCGAGGAGTTGGGGGACACTGACTTTCGCGTCGGCAAGAAGGCTCCTATGACTTCCTGGTATACAGGGGCATATGTACATGGAGGTTGTGCTGGAGTGAGAAAAAACCTTCAATCCTACCCCAGTACAACAAAGTACCTTGTCCAGGTCGCCAAGCAGTTTGCAGGGAAGGAAAAGTTCACGGCGGTTGGAGTGGTGAGGAACTCGATGTTGGGAATGCACCGAGACATCCACAACTACAAAAAATCCATGAATATAGCGGTTCCGTTGACAACCTTTAAAGGAGGCGGACTTTGGCAACATGATCCCGAGATTGAGGAGGAGCTCGGCATCCCGAAGTATCTACCAAATGGGCAGTTGCTCAAAGGAAAAATTCAGGAAGCAAAAAGAGGAGAACCCATTCTGTTTTCCCCGTCAACATGGCATGAAGTTCAACCTTGGGAAGGAGAAAGGGTGATGCTTTTGATGTACACTCCGAGGGCAACGAAGCTCAAAGAAGGTGAACTGAATCTTCTACGGGAACATGGGTTTGAAGTTGATCCTGGAGCCCTTCACAAAGAAGAAGAAGATCATGATGTTCAACCAGAAGATAACGCAAGGCTCTCTGCTTTGCGGGTTAATGATCTTCATACTACAACGGCCTTTTTCGAGTTCAACGACTTCGAGGATGCAAGCATCGAACAAGTTCTTCCTTCAACAGCGACGACAAGAATGCAAGAAATCTCCTTGAAAAGGGAAGCAGGTGCTGTGTTGAAGAAGGCAGAGGTTCAGTACACGTCCAACATCGAAGAGATCCTGAAGGAGTGCGTGAAAAAGAAGCAACCTCTTGATGTCACTCACACAGTCAGCCTTCAGGATGTGAAGCGCAACTTGGAGGCATGGAAGGCTTCGGCTGTTAAAGAGTACGAGAACTTGAAGAACAACAAGCGCGCGTTCGTCGTGAAAAAACGTCATGAACTACCACCAGGGTGCCAAATCATACCGTGCAAGGGTGTTTTCACAACAAAGCCCGACAAGAATGAATTTTTCAGACGGAAAACAAGGTTTGTTGGATGTGGCAATCATATCCCGGATGGACAAGAAGACATGGACCTCTTTGCAACGGGCATTGATGCTACTTCCTTGCGGACGATGATAGCGTTTTCGATTGACAAACCTTGGCAGTTTGGGACCACGGACATACGTCAGGCTTTTGTTCTAGCTCCCTGGAGAGGTCAACGTGTTGCACTACAACCACCCCAAATAGCCTACGAGCTGGGATTGGCAGAAGTCGGCGACTACTGGCTGGTCGAGATGGCCCTGTATGGGCTGAGACAAAGCCCAGCACTGTGGTCGCAGTTCAGGGATGAGCAGTTATCAATGGCCAGGTTCACCGCTAAGATTGATGGCCGTGAAGAAGAACTTAGAGTTGTTCAAATGGTCGCTGACAACCAGATCTGGAAAATCGTGCGGTGCAATGGTGATCAAGAACCTCTTGGCTTTGTGATGGTGTATATAGATGACCTCTTGGTGAAGGCTCTCCCGGAAGCGATGGATGCCTTTTATCAATGGGTGGCGGCTCGATGGGAATGCGACGGACTTGATGTTCTACGAGAAGGGCATCCTATAAGGTTCTTGGGAATGGAAATGCACCTACATGATGAAGGCGTGGAGTTGGCTCAAGAAGGCTTTGTACGAGAACTTTTGCGGGCACACCAACATGATGGTTCTAAGGCAAAGACTCAGGGACCAAAAGACACTTTGGTGTTATCTCTTGAGGAGGAGGAGGCAATAATCCTGGCGAAACCAGCTGAAACCACAGGAAAGGAAGCTGAGATCAAAAAGGCTCAACGATGTGTGGGAGAACTTCTGTGGTTATCGGGAAGGACACGACCAGATATACAGTATGTCACAGCCCTCCTTTCATCGAGGATTACCAGGTGCCCAGAGATTGTGAACCAAGTGGGAGATCGTATGCTGAGCTACCTCAACGAGACCATCAACTATAGGTTGAGGTTTTCCAAGACAGAAGACCCGGAACACCATTTGCATGTGTACACGGACTCAAGCTTTGCTCCAAGTTCGGGGAGAAGCCATGGTGCAGCATGTGTTTTCTGGAACAACAACCCCGTAATGTGGCGATCAGCGCGCCAGCAGTTGGTCACACTGAGCACGGCTGAATCAGAGCTACTTGAAGGAGTTGAAGGTGTTGTGCTAGCAAATGCTACAAAAGCTCTCTTGGAAGAACTATGTGGAAGAGTTATCATGACAACCCTCCATATTGACAACCAGTCGGCTCTTCAGCTACTACAAGGTTCTACGGGTTCGTGGAGAACAAGGCATCTTCGATTACGGGCAAATTATATCCGAGAACGAATGCAAAGAGATGAATTATGTGTTCGTTTCGAACCGGGATTGACACAAAGGGCTGACTTGGGAACAAAGCCGTTCACAAGGGAGAGGCTGCAACAACTTATTTTGTTATGGAACATCCATGACAGAAGAAAGGAGGAAAAGATCAATGTGAAGGCGACCTCCAGTGGGACGATGAGTACATGGCTTTCAAAGCTGCTGATGTTTTGTCAAGTGTGTGGTTCAACCGCTCAAAAAGAACAGATAGCAGCAGAAATACCGTGGGACTTGTACTTCCTTGTGCTGATCCTGGCTGTCGCTGTGATTGGTATATGGGAAGGAGGAAAGAGCTGTTGGCGTGGAAGAGAGATCCGACTACAAGCCTTGAGATCCAGAGCAAGTTACGGCCGCCTTACAAGGACAGAGCTGAAGGAATTGCAACGACTTTTAGCTGTGGAACCTTCGAGCTTGACCGATGAACAAGGAACAAGGTTGTTGTACCTCAAGGATTTGTTCGAGCAAACTATGCCGGCAGGTACGTCTCCAGTGCCAACAATACCAACAACGACAATGCAGTCTTCCTCATCAAGTGAACAACAAGTTCAAGGGCCAGCCGTATCATCCTCAACAACGTCAAGGACAACGAAACCCATTATGAAAGATCAAGCAACACAGAAGGATTATGAACCAGTCTTTCAAAGGGTGATGCCTCAGCCACCTGTGCGGGTTGAAACGTTCGCTGGCCCATATCACCACGTGCCGGGAACAGATATCCTACATGTTCATCAGAACTGTTGGGGGCTGAGGAACACAGGACGGGCACAGCCACTTCGACTATGCAGATGCTGCGTTGAGAATGGTGGTAGAAGCTTGTATGATAGATGAGGTCGAAAAAAGAGAACCTCGTCACCTCCGAAGCAACGAAGTGTGTGTGATGTAAAGCCAACGGCAACATCAAGGAGGAGTGTTGAAATACATGCTTCCTCCGATGACTCCGCTTGTGCAAGGAGAACGCTTTTTATACGATTGCTGTATGGCTTAAGCTCTTCGGTGATCAAAAGGGGATATAGCCAGCTGTCGGCAATTGCACAGTGTATAGTAAAGACCAACAGCACATGCCGTCCCGAGCAGCATTCCTCTATGCCGTAAAAAGAGTGCGATCGATCCTTTGTTGATGGCCTTTGGCGCTTGCTGTCTGTGAGCATAAGACCTCTTTGACTTCAACATTGGAACCCAAATTCGAGAACTTCAAGTTCAATAACCCTATAAACCCTGTGAACCCTAAACCCTAAGCCCTATAACCCTAAATCCTAAACCATGAACCTAAACCCCTAAACCCTAAACTCTACTCCCTAAACTTTCCTACTTACTTATGAGTCTACTTACTACCTACATACGGAGTCCCCCGACCGGACTAGTACCCTTGTAGTCCCCTTATAGATCTCTTATAGACCCCTTTAAAAGGAACCCTTTGAAGGAATCCTATTCTAATGATTAAGACCTCTACGTATAGATTCCTTATAGAGCCCTTTACGGATCCCTTCAAACGAACCGTATTCCATAGTTCTTAAGGCCCCTACAAGTAGGCGATGCCTTCACTGGAAGCCCTAGCTCTGGGCGGAGAAGCAGCACCCCCAAAGCTCATTGAGGCCTCGCGGTGCTAAAGGGATCTATAAGGATTCTGTAAACGGTATAGGATTTAGGGTCTACTTGGAGGTTCATGGGTACTTATACATGAGGGTTTCAGTCCCCTAATGTAGGTCATAACTATAGTTACCCTACTTCTAACCAGACCTGTACCTACCCATGAACCTCCAAGTGATGTCGGGCTCTTGGGATTCATAGGGCTTGGGGCTTTAGGGCTTCAGGGTTGTAGGGCTTGGGGCTTCAAGGTTTTAGGGCTTTCAGGGTTGTAGAGGTTTGTTTGATTTAGGGTTTGGGACTTTCGAGTTTTAGTGTTTGAGGATTTTCTTTTTGGGTGTGAGGGTTTAGGGTGTTAGGGCTTAGGCTTTAGAGATTTAGGGGTTTCGGATTGTAGGGTTCAGGGTTTCAGGGTTTTAGGGTTTAGGGCTGTTTGGCTTCAGGGTTTAAGCGTTTAGGGTATGGGGTTTGCCCAGTTTCATGAAATCACTGACATCCGCCTAAGATGCCCCAAAGTAAGAACGCTTTGGCTTGTGCATCGTTAAACTCGAGCTTCAGCGGCGAAGTCCACACCGGGATTGCCAAAGCGTTGAGCCATTATGGGAGTTTCCGAAAATAGCGGGCCCTAATATAGTACCCTAAACCGTAGGATCATTATTATAAGGACCCCAAAACAAGGTACCTCTATTTTCGGAAACTCCCTTATAAGCTCCGGGGCCCCCGAAGCTGCCGCTCCTCATGGTCTTGGACGCCATGGAAAACTGGCGAAGCGCGTGGCAACAGCCGAGCAGGGGCGGCAAGGGAAATCAGGCGGTGCGAGATCGAGAGCGGGGCTATGGTCAGGCACGGTTTCTGAATCCGATCCTGGAATAGTAAGCGCGATGCTATGCATGCGGAAACGGGAATGAGTTTAGATCAGAACCCAGACCCCCGGGAGGATCTAGAAAGTAGATCCCCTAATTTTGGGGCTTTATACTATTAAGGGCACTTTATAGGAACCCCCATTAAGGGATCTACGTTTTGGATCCTCCTGGGGTTCTGGGACTACAGCAGAATACCACAATAGGACATAATCCCTAAGGCTCAAAATGGCCCAAAAGCCTTATATAATATGAGTCTTCAGGCCCAAAAGCCATAAAATATGAGTCCTTGGAGCCTTAGGCTATGCAATGAACCTGAATCTCATTTGACGGCCCTGCGGTCCATGCAGGCCCGGACACCGAGTGACCGGCCTCATGCACCAGTGTCCTGGGTTTGGAGTACCCTGCAGAGTTCCTCAAAAGGGCTCCTTAAAGGGATCTGGAGGGTTCCTTAAAGGAATCTGTAGAGTTTAGGGTTTAAGGGTTTAGGGTTTTAGGGTTAGGGATTTAGGGGTTTAGGGTTTAGGGGTTTAGGGTTTTAGTAAGGGTTAGGGATGTAGGGGTTTAGGGTTTAGGGTAGTGCTACTACCTGGGTTTGATGTACCATACTTGAGTACTTTTTTGGGTACCTGATCCTTAAAGGAACCATTATGAAATAAATGTCTATATTTTTTCCCCCTGGTTACTTCAAAGTCCAGGTGTCTTGACAAACATTTCATTGTCTGCTTGAGCAGAATTTACAACTTGTGCTGCCCTTCTGGGGCTAAAGAACCAACGCCTCGTCAAGATTATACAGGCTAAGGCAGGGTTGTGTGTTTAGGTTTGCATGAGGGAGGGTTGAAGGTGTGTAGGCATTGAGTCGTTTGGGGCGGGTTGTGGTTTGGAGTTGAGCGTCGCAGGGGGGCGCAAACAAGACTGAGCCGGGACAGATCAAAAAAAAACCCTTGCAAAACCAAACCCAAAACCCAAAACCCTAAACCGTCCTTATTCCCGCTTACTTGGGCTTAGGGTGTGTTAGGGACGAGGTCGCCAAGTGGTACCCCAGTGCCTTTCTTGAGTTTCAACCTCCTGCTCCCTACCGCATAGCATGAAAGCGTGTAGTGTAGGAACCTGAATAAGAAACCCTGGCCCGTTAACCCCAAATATATCAGGATTCATATCAAGAACCCTAATAAGGACCCAAGGTTTCTTAATCAGGTTCCTACATTACCCAGTCTCTTGAAGAGGTGACTGGTAATCCGGCGCAAGAGAACCCTAGAACATTAGCCGATGCCCTTGCAAAACCTTCAGACCCTAAAACGCTAAAGCCCTAATTGCACCCTAAATCCTCAAGCCTGATGCCCTTAGCTCCTGAACCCTAGAAAAGACAGAAGCAACTAAGATGGGGTCAAGTATCACTCAAGTGCGGCCACGTCAGGCCTGGTCGGGTCCGCAATCACCTGGGCCTCGCTGTCGCCTCTTTAACACGTGCGCTGTCTAGGGGTGCAGGGTTTTGGGGCATAGAGTTGGGTTTGGGTACAGGGTTTAGGCTTTGGGGGCTTGGCGTAAAGGGTTTAGGGTTTAGGGGTGTCGGGTTTAGAGGTTTAGGGCATAGGAATCCACGTTGTTTTTATCCCAAATACCGCTTGTTAGGTGCTCTAAACCACCCTTTAAGAGTACCCTAAATATTTCTTGCAGGGGCCAGATGCTCCCATTACATACATTAAGAGCACAAGGACGGTCCCGGTTGGCTTTTACAGGAGCATGGGTTCATGAAGGTCTGCATCTGCACCAAACCTTGTCAGCCAGGTTCCCCACTACTACCCTCTTGCCGTTTGTATCTTGGAGACTGTTAGAGTATGAGTTTAGGGAGTAGAAGTTTAGGGTTTAGGTTGAGGGATTAGAGTTTAGTTTCAGGCTTTGAGAACTAAACTCCGAACCCTTATCCTAAGCCCTATACACTGGACTCTGCACCCTGACTCCGAACTGCCAGCCCAAATCCTAAATCCTGGACTCTCCATATTAAACATTTCAGCCTACACCCCTACTTGGAGGTTCATCGGTAGTTAAAAGGGGTAATCATCCCCCTTAAGTTATAATTATAGTTGCGCTACTGTACTTATTATAACTACACTTATAGCTACCCAGCAACCTCCAAGTACACCCCTGTGCCCTAAACCCCTGATCCCTAACCCCTAACCCTAGAGGACCCTGAAAGGAACCCTACTAAAGCCTAAAAACCCAAATCCCTACACCCCTATGCCCTACCTTAACCCGGAAGAACCTGCATTTTAAGGACTTATATAAAGAAATCATAATATGGAACCCTAAACAGGAAGGTTCTTCAGGGTTAAGGTAAGCCCTAAGCCCCAGAGTCTGAAATTTTGGACCCTGCCCTGTCGTGGCTGTTTTGGCTCCGGTCCTTGAGAGCACTTCCTTCCGCCTTTTCATGGCTTTTACCTTAAACTCTAAACCCGAAACTCCAAACCCTCAGATCTATCCCTATAAACCCTAAACTCTAAACCCTAAACCCTAAACCCCTAAAACCTGAACCCTTAAACCCTAAACTCTCAACCCTCAACCTTAAACAAGGTTTCGGATGTTGCCTGGCCTAAGGCCAATGGGTTCGGGAGTGCCCTGGTAGGGTCTCAAGGTTGGGGTTTTAGGGTTTCGGGTTTTAATTGGGGTTTTGCGTGGACTTTGGGTTCGTGCCCAAGCGCATCGTTGTTTTTCAGCTGCAGCCCCACAACATGGGCTGCCACCTCTGCACGGAGTCAGTAGGGCAGGTGGAGGTGCCTTCTGCGAAATGCGTGGGGTCTACCTACTTGGAGGTTCATGGGTAGTTATAAATGGGGTTATGAGTAGGGTAACTCTACGTATAACCCAGATTAGGGGACTTATAACCCTTCTTACAACTACCCATGAACCTCCAAGTAGCGGGTCAGGGGACATCAGGAGCAAAGTTGCAACTTACAGGTACCCCTAACAGCCCTTGCACGTACTTCGGCGTAACTCCGTGAAGTATCAACAAAATCCCACGGTTTACTTGGAGGGTCGGGGGATTTAGTAACTGGTTATTTTAGGGACTTATAAGTACCATAACCCCAATTAGG